GTAGTAGGTAGTAGGTAGTAGTAGGTAGTAGGTAGTAGGTAGTAGTAGGTATAGCAGTAGGTATAGTAGTAGGTAGTAGTAGGTAGTAGTAGGTAGTAGGTACTAGGTACTAGGTACTAGGTGGTAGTAGTAGTAGTAGTAGTAGTAGTAGTAGTCACAACAAGTTTAAACAAGCACAAAGAAAAGGCCAGGGACACAGGATCAAATTGATAGGGGGTAGTAGTGCAGATTATTGATGGGCGACCGGCCCTTGTGAGGGGTACCCTTTGTGAGCTTGTCAAATGATTGTTTTTAATTGTTTTTTAATAAGGCAATTTATAGGCCCTGAGCCCTAGACATTTTTAAGGATTTCATCAAACATGTAGTAGGTAGTAGGTGGTGATGGTCGTGGTGGTGGTGGTGTTGGTCGTGGTAGTAGCAGTAGCAGTAGCAGCAGCAGCAGCAGAAGCAGCAGCAGCAATAGCTAGTAGCAGTAGCAGGAGCAGCAGCAGCAGCAGGAGGAGTAGTAGTAGTAGTAGTAGTAGCAGTAGCAGTAGCAGTAGCAGCAGCAGCAGCAGCAGGAGTAGTAGTAGTAGTAGTAGTACGAAAAATTGACCTGGTTGTGGGCTCGGATTAACTGGGGGGGATTGTTGGTAGAAAACTAGACCATAGGGGGGGAAATCAACAGCCAATAATACTTTTAATTTGGGCAATTTCCGCGGCGTCGTGGGCTCGGATTTAACTAGGGGGGATTTATTAATCCTAACTTGACATTATACGCCATGTTCTGGTTTAGGGTCAAGTGAGAGTCTTGGATAAACCGCCGATATAAACGTTGATCTCCCGATTTCGATGAACAGCCTAGCTTTAAACTGCCTCCATGAGCCAAGACTTGTTGTGGGTCTTTCTTGCGCCGTACATCCCAGCTAGTGGAATATGGCTTGCCATTGGGCAGCCCTCCGCGAGATGTTTTTGCTGGCCAGAACCAGTCTGTTAAACGATGTGCGGCGCACGCTGGGGAGGGATGTCGATGTGCGAGAAATCATTTTTTCATGCTGGTTTTTGTTTCTTGGGTTGACTCAAGGCTCCCTGTGAACCTGGGTATGGCCTACCAGGTTACACAGAGGATGACCGGCCACAGCTTTTGTTTGGGTGTTTGTTCACTAGTTTACTAAGTTACCAGGACGCAGGTGTTTGAACCACGATATGATTCAAATGAACCCTCTATAGAGCTTTACAGCCATTGTTGTGTACTAAAGGGAACCCTTGATAGGGCCTGAGATGAATCGTTAGCTGCACATCGATTGTGCAGCTCGTGGACTGAAGGATCTTCCCACGTTCCCACCTGGACACGCAGCAACGCACCGGACAAACGGGACGGCGGTTCGCCCGCACGGGACGGCGAACGCATGGTTGGTCCTTCCGAGTCGGGAGGCCACGAAATCTGAAGACCAAACAGGGATTGTTCACTTCCGTGTTTGTTGGGAGGGAGGGCCAGGGAGGGCCAGGAAGGGCCACGGTATCTTGTTTGTTTGTATTTGGATCAGGAGAAGACACCACGAGTGCTACTCGTAGCCGTTCTTGATTTGATCAAGAAGGACTACTATCAGCAAGAAGGATTACTGGCATACTGTTTATCTTTGTTTATGAATATGTATTTGTTTTATATGTGTGTTCTATGTTCCTTTTGATGTAATGTTTACTGATCACATTAGAGCACTGGATCCTTACAAGCCACCAAGGACAGAGTGGTTGCACATCGTGGCTATGCTATCTGCAATAAAGAAAACACGATCTGGTGACAATATGGGATACATTGGGTCTGTCCTATTACCTGTAACAAGTCAGTAAACCAAGCAAAGCCACTAGAACCCTTAAAAACATTTAAAAACAAGCCCTGGAACCCCCCACCATCCTCCAAAACGAGCCCTGATAATTGGATTCTTCCATCCGGGATACACTGACGGACTGTTCAGCTCTTTCCCGCGACGGATCCTGGACGCTTCCGATCCGAACTGCGCCATGAACCCTTGACGACGCGGCGCCACCGCTGCGTCCTCGCGCTCGCCGCGTGCGTGGACCGGGCGAAGGATGTCGCTGGGACGGAAGAATCGGTGGAAGGGAACGGCAGAACCATCGATGTTTCATCCGAAAGACGGTGCTACTCGGTGGAAGCAGTGGGGAGAAAGGACCAGATGGTTCGGTTCATGTGGTCGTTTCATTCGTTGGTGTCCCCACTTTCCCACGTTCCGACGGCCTTTCAGATCCACATGGTACACTCGGTGCGCAGGACCGAGATCCCCCACCCGGTCCCCCCAAAAAGGGACCCGTCACCGGTGAAGGCAAGAGGTCACGGCACACCGAACGAACAGGCTCACAGCGGCATGCTGTGCTGCGATGACAAGTCGTAGACTACTTATAGGACCCGACTGGGGTACCTATGGGATAGTCTATGAGGTTCAGGGTTGACAGAATGTGTTGTGGAGGTCGAGACTCACATGTGCTGCTTTTTTTCGTACGTTGTTGTTTCCACTAATTTTCTTCACTCTTTCAGGCTCGCCAACCAGGACACGCATCGAGTACGCTGCAGGCTCGTGGAGTACGCTGCACTGGCCTTGCCGCTGCTCGCTCTCATTCTGCTGGCCACCAGGATTTTGTGGTGTCAAGCTCAGTCATTGCCCATTAATATTTTCCGTGCCTGTTCAGAACCTAGGGACAAAAACAGACAAACCCTTCTATCCTGAATCCTGTCTTCAGTAGCAGCCAGGATCACAGGTGAAGATACACAAGCTAGGCCGGCTAAGCCCTATGTTTCACCTAAAATAGACATATAAACATATATATATATACATACAGTGTCGTACAGTGACGGATATCAGTTTTATCTATCCAGGTGATATCAAAAATGTTACTGTCGACGAAACCTTGCGACCAGCCCATGACTCATGACACTCGCAATATTTTTGGAGGAATCGGTATAGAAGGTTCCTGACAAAACCCTGACCCTCAACCGGGCGTTCTCTTGTGCGAAACACAACTGCCCAGATACAAACAGTTGGCAAAGCGATTTGTTTTCATGAGCTGTCATCTCACTAGCGCTGATTGCAAGTTTATCTCAATTTGGCATTTGCAGTCAGTACTTTCGGCAGCAGTTCCTTGCACCCAGTTTGCCATGAAGGAGCACAAAGTACAAAACGTCGGCATACTTAGTTCATGGGCGTGTGGAAATGCAGCTGTGAGCAAAGGCTTTGGTTTGAGCATCCTACATGTTAAGTTGTCCGACAGTGTCTTGTGAGTGGAAATCGAATTACGGCGCCTACTACCTGACTTCGACTCCGCGCTGACCCAAGGGATTGTCAAAAATGGTATGTTCTTGGCATCCCATGCACCGTTGGCCGGGTGCAAGCGCCAGGTCACTTTGTGTCCTTTTGGCCAACCCATCGCGATGAAAACATCGAGATGGATGACAGCAAGGCAAATGGGCTAAAGCGCTTGCTGGGGACACGCGAAGCAAGCCATGCTTTCCAAGAGTATCGAGGGGAGCCTTCGTATTGGCTGTGCTGAGGAGTGACTGAAAAGGGGAGGCCAATCATCCAAGGAGGCGGCCTCAGTTCTTGCACCGGCTCCACCGCCATGCTCGCTCGTGTTGGCCTACCGGTCCTGAAGAGGATTGCTCGCGTTCGCGCTCGCCACCGGTGGCTCAGAGCGCAAGCGAACGCATCGACCACGGTCGAGTGATTCCAACCGTTGCACAGCACAGCGGCAATGAAGCCGTTTCGCCGCGACACAAGGAACGGACCGGTGGTCGGATTCGGTTGGAAAGTGCTTTTCTAAAAATAGTGTTCAGTATAGACTGTATCATAGTAATTAGTCATGCATGTATAGTACTTCTGCAGAAAGAGTTATATAGCGACTTGAAGTGAGTGCGTGCCCGGGCGCGGAATTGCATGTATTTCGTTGTGAAGAATGCACACAAACGAGCACGGAATAGTGGAGGAATGCAACTCAAAATGAACCTTGTTAAGAGGGCAACATAGTTCGAAAAAGGTGGAAGTGGAGTGGCCCTGCCATTTCAAGCTGCTGCAAGAAACTCTCAGAATTGTTTTTAACAGAAACTCTCTCAGGTAATCTAAGGTTCAATGTATGTGTTCGTGGGTGTATTCTTTCCAAATAGCAATCTCAAGATTTGCAAGATCTTGTAAGTTCTGGTGGGCTGAGCCAACTTAACGATGCAGTTTTGCGCCGTTTGCTGCGAGTATGATGATGTCTGATGGGCAAAAGAATGGCGAACTGTCTATTATAATGGCAATAAGTTGAGAATGAATGAGACTAAATGATCTGGCAGCATTCCAGCCAGAGAAATCTGGTTCTTGTGACAACCGGGAGAAGATTTGTCATTCCTCGAAACCCGAAACCGAAAGGGATGGGCTCTTGTTTGAAAGGTGGCTTGTGGCGCGCGTTTGGAGCAAGCGGAAGAGGCATGGTGAGGATTGGGTGGAATTTGTAGCCACGTATTAATATATTACATTATATTACATATTACATATGCTCGTATAATCGTTTATATAATATGCATACATTAACATTATACAATATCAACATGCACATATGGATGGCTAACGACTTACAGTATGGTACAGTACCCAAACAACTGGGACTGGACTATGTGCCTACATTGACCCTTCTTCAACCACCCCAAGTGAAAAACAAATATGCCAGTTCCATGGGTCGTGTTTGGGGATGGTAGCGGTCGGCGAAGATCCCGGTCGGCACTGCAGCGAGGATCGCCCGGACCCAGAACAGCTGTTTCAGTGGCACCTTCAAGAAGCCATAGCTGTTTCTACTTGACTCTTAATTGTACCGGGACCTTCCGTTTGGGGCGTCCAACTCCATATTGGACAACCCCACATGTTCCTAGTCCAGGATCATCTTGCTTGTTGAGATGAGCCAAGCATGGTTCAGATTTTCTTGGATCACAATGGGGAGGCCCAGGCCCTTCGGAGGAACAACTACCCCGTGCGAATCCGCAAACCGCAGGCGAAGCTGGGCTGGAACAGCGCAGTTGCGTGCTTGGGAAATGGGGCGCTGTGCGGCCGGTCAGACCGAATCAAGAGAGAAAGGCCTTTTTCAAGTTCGAAGATTTTCGATGGTCTAAGATCGTTGTAAGATGGCTGTAAGCATCGGGAAAGCCAAAGAGAGAAACCATCAGAAAACCAATATTATATATATATAGCATGTACAGTATATACATGATTTTTTAGAAGGTATCCGGGACACTCCATGTATGCCATATTTATACCTACATTGGGGTGGTCTTGGGGGTGGATGTAGGCATATATGCATCATGGAGTGTGTGGGTATTATATAGTCTCAAGTCACTGCCGAGGCTGCCGCTCCGCACGGCGGTGGTGCTGGGCTCCGGCGGCCACACCATGGAGAGACCGATCCATACGCCATGGGGGGGAGATGGTTCCAGGTCGACCTTTGGGATATGTTGGGTGTGGATGCTACATTCATCTACATACACCATGAATTGGTGTTTGGGTGGATGATGGTGTATGTATTCCATTATTTGTTGTTAGTTTAAACACAAAACACCCATTATCGATATGGGATATTTTGGGGGGATCGGTTTGTCTACCCCTTGTCCCCATCGTGTATTGTATTCTTTGAGATTTGTGTGGACGTCGTGGATTGAATCTCCCAACCTGTGAGTTGCGAAGCCTTGAGTTTAACATGTGAGGGAAACACACAGAAACACATTGTGTTGGGGTTGGGAGGGATTTGTGGACTATATGCATGATTTGGCCTGAAGTGACTTGCACAAATACAGCTCAACTAAAGAACAAACTTCAACTCCATAGGTTTGCCAAAGTATGTACCTTGGGCTTGGAGTAATAGTCTGTGTTTTTGTTCAGCCGGGGTCGACTTCCGAAATGCGGAGCGAGACGTCGGAAGTATAGTCTATTGCCACTTGTGGATCCGTGGTTTAATGAGTGACGGGCATTCAGCCAAGGCTGCACTGGTTGACACACCACTGGGTATATCCAGTTACAGTATACAGTTTGGACTGTTTGCAAGAAGAAGCCTGCGCTCACAATAGGGAGCATTTGTTGAATGACTTCCTCGCAAATGCGGTTGGATAGGCTGTGTGACTTACATACATGAGCAGATCGGGTTTTCAGGTATAGTTCAGCATTTGTTCATTCAACAGATGTGTTTCAGCACAATATTGATTTGCTCAGGGGTTGCTAGTGCTGCCAAGTCAAGCAAGCAGTTACAACCAGGGTCTCAGCCAGTCTCCTGGACCTAGCAATAGTGAGACACCGCTGTAGAAGTATGGGCATTTTTACCCTCGTTCTTCCACAAAGATGGAAGTTGTATGAAGTTGTTTGACAGTTAGACCAACCGATAAGACATGCCTGAGATTTTGGCATTCTTCCCACTCTACCCTTGTATCTATGAACCCATGTCTTCGTATCTTGCCCTATCAACCCATTGTATACCTGGGCGGCACGCCGCCACCACGTTGTCGCTTTGCCGGCGAGGAGATGTTGTCGCTCCTCAAAGAGGTGGATCAAGAGAGGCCGAGCGAACGATTAACAGACAGCGATGCCAAGCGAGCGGGGTGTACTCGTGGATGATGAAAGGACTGCAGAGTTCTCGCATGGAACGAGTATGAACGTACATGGACAGTTTGTTATTTTCAGTACTTTATCTTGAGGATGTTGAGGCTCAATATGTTTGATGATCTCAACAAGAATCCTGAGAACGATCCAATTAAACCGGTCTGTTGGTCTTGCAAACATTGCTTTTACCAGCACCAGGTATCGATGTGATTTCATCATGGCCCAGACAGACTCGAGCTCCCTGAAAAAGGCTGGAGAGAACTGAAGAGTCAGTGAGTCAAGCATGTCCCAACTTGCTGTGGGAATATGTGGGAAGCCACAAGAATCCCTTTGATGGTATATATCTATGTTGTACGATTTGGGAACACTGTTTTTTGTGAGGCCTACGGTCTATGTACTGCACCAGAATTTCTTTTTGAGACCGACTCAAGTCTTGCGCTACCGAAGGCAAACACGGTCAAGACGCTTGCGATGCTCCCACCTGCATATAGGATGTGAGAAGAGACACCTGAAATCGAGCACTGTGATGGAGGCATTGCATTGAATCCTCAGGTTTCACAGCTTCAAGCTGCCCAGCTCTAAAACTTCAAGTCGATCTATGAAATAAAAGCCCAAAAGCCGGCGGCTTTCGAATTTCCGCATGATTTGGCTGCCTGTTTGTTCCGTTTGACGCACATTTTCAGGTGCAAGCCACGCGGCCGGACCTCGCGAAGGACCTCACGCGTTTCCACGTGATCCCACGCAGCCGCGAGGTGCCCCAACCAGGATTCCGGGTTGGAAGATGGATGATGGTCATGTTTGATAGGATCTTTTCTTGGCACCTCCTTTCCAGGATTCCGTGTCTTTTCTTCAGATCCCTTCCATAGACGTCAGATGTTCTTCCCAACAAGAACGCCGTGCAGTGCGGGCCTGACCCGGACCCACTGACCCGGACCTGCGCTCCACATCCAGAAAGGGCGCGATCGCTGGAGGTGGGCCAGTCCTGGAGCTCCTCGCTGCTCACGACCGCTCAGGCGACGTCCGAGCGAAAGAGAAAGGGCGAAAGAGAAACGTCGCCAGGGGCGGGAGTGGCCGTTTCGTGCGGAATTTGCTGGTGTTGCTTTTGTGGAGCTCGTAGTAGTTACAATCAGTGGCCTGAGTTTTAGGCACTGTTTGGATTGGAGCGATACTGGTAGTTAAGTTTTTTTGATAGGCCTATGTGAGCTTGGCTGTTGACAGAAGGAACCATCGAAATGAGTGAGTGTTGCTACCAGGGGCAGACCAGATTCAGAATAAGTTGGATCCATGCACGGTACCAGCACGGGTTTTGCTAAGTCAGTCAGTTACACAACAGCATTTGGAGTGTAACTATGCGAAGGAAAAATGTACCTTCCAACGACCGCTTTCCCGTACAAAAGGTGTGTTGCATGAATTAAAACGTCGAAGAGTTACGTAGTTTGTTGCCGACCAGATGACAAAATTCCATGACATACCAAATACATCCAAATACATATTATAGGCTAGGGATAGGGTTCAAACATGTTCAAGCGTTCCTTTGTGAAGCATTGGATTTGGGGACCAATTTGTATTTATATACCCCCCAAAATACCCCGTATGTGGGGCCCATTGACAATCAATAGCATCAACATGTCATCTGGGGTGGTCAGTCTGTTCGCCGATTCCGAAGCGGCAGCCTCGAAACGAAGTCTGTTCTACCCATTTCTCTCCATTGGGGTTTCGAGCATGCTTCACAAAGCCAGACGTTTTGACGTCCGCTCCTAGAAAAGACTCGCCTTTAGGCCTTCCTTGCTTGCCTTGGACTCGTCTGGGAGTTGAATCCCCAGGCGGGTTTGGGCCAGGGGATTTGAACTGAGGAAAAGAACTTGGTCACCTTTTTGGAAACATTCCAACTGTGAAGTGGGCAAAAGGTATGGCTTTTTTTTCTCAATCCATGCCTGACAGGGAAGATGATCACCACCGTCCTCTCTGTCGATCTCTGGGTCGTTGTTTCAGTCAGACGTTTGGACAGTTTCAGCAGGACAGTGGGTGGTCTTAGAGATGTCCGTGAGATCCACCAAATGAGTCCAATGTTCATGCTTCACAAGTCGTCATCCAAAAAAATTGATTAAACATGATTAAACATCATGAACATATGAAGGGAGTCCTATCGATACTTTTTGCGGGGATGCCTTTTGCCAGTGAATCAGATGTTTTTGTGCATATTTTTGAGGCTCTCCTGGAACTCGTTGCTTTGATGGTTTTTGGATTGCAAAAGCTGACATCACCATTCTATGTAGGCAGTCGCCTATTGATTTGTATTTACGTGCGGTGACACCTTCTTGAAAACCCCCGTGTCCATCTACGTTGATTGCTCCTGATTTCAAACAATCCTGGAGCTTTATCAAGGATTGCCGAAAATCTTCCAATCGCATCATCAGTCTGTGAGGATCTGGTAGGCTCTCATGCTCCAATACAAGTTTGTTTTCCCCCACTGGCCCATACTGGGGCCAGTACTGGGGCCCATACTGGCCTGATGTCAAGTCAATCAACATGTTTGAGGTGAAATGGTTCTTCCAACTCTTGGCCTCCACCCTAGACATTCGGCACGCGCACCCCATGGGTGCCGGCGCTGGCACTGCCGCTTGGCATGTGGAAGACGACCTGGACGACGAGGCACTGCGGACGTTTCTCGCGGAGGATGTGGCTCGTGCAGAGCGACTGCTGGAGATAGCCGCCCGGGCAGAACGGCTGATGCGACTTGGAAGCGAAGGGGGGAAAAGACAGCAGTTGATGGCGGTGACAGACAGTTTCTAAACCTTAATAGATTTTAAGAGTCAAGGATTCTTAGATAGCGATGGCATCCTGCAGTATCCCTCCCAAGTGAGGCCTTTCGCCGGACAGAACCGTGGAGTCCGCGGCCGGGCGGATTCTGCACGGTGCCCTCTGAGGCCTAGCACGAGGGCGACGCGTGGCGCGTCGCAGCGGTTGAGCATCCACGGCATGGACGGCTCGACCTTTTGGCTCGCCGTGGACGACGTGGCCACCGTGGCATGGCGCCAGGGTGGAGATGGAGGGGGTGCGATCAAGACACCAGTGGAGCTTGGCTCTAAGGGGAAAAATGGGCCGAGAAATCACAGGGAGGATGTGTTTCTCAAGTGCTTGGTGTCTTTCGGGTGTTCCAACTCCTTTCATTAATGTAATGTAAAATGACTGGAAGCAGAGCAGAGGTCTGTAACTGACTCAGCACATCAGGTGGAAGATCTATCTAACCTCATCGCGGTGAAAGCGAGGGTGAAAGCAGGTGGAAGGCTGGTGCTCACGTCCGGAGGCGAATGGCGGAACGGCCAAGGGTGCGGTACCCGGGGTGCGGTACCCGGGGTGCGGTACGGGGAGTCACCAGTGAATCAATCCGGGAGTCCCCAGTGATCAAGGGATCTCAAGGGTAGACTTTCCTTGAGCATGTGATCGAACGCCCGGAACTCGATTTACAGACAAGGCGGAACTCGATCCGACAGGCCATGTCTTGGAGCACGCCCAGCCGCTGCTGCAACAGCTTTCGGGCAACGAAGTCACCTACGTGGCGCGGCAAGTGTCTGCCGGCGAAGCGGCCGCGAGCTTCGCCGTGAGCTTGCAGCGAGCGATGGTGGAAGAGAATGGCATCGCCTCGTTGAGCTCGGTGGATCAGAATGCCATAGATGCCATCGTCTCGTTGACCTTGGACACGGCCCAGAAGCCGTGGAGATTGGACCAACTTCCACTGCCCAGAAGCCTGGAGATCTTGACCTTTAGGCACTTCAACAGGAGCTTGAAAGGTGTGGCTTTACCCAGCACCCTACTGGAGTTGACCTTGGGCGACAAGTTCAACCAAAGCTTGGATGGTGTCGCCTTACCAAGCAACTTGCAAACTTTGACCTTTGGTGACGAGTTCAACCAGAGCTTGGATGGTGTCAAGCTGCCAGACAGCCTGCGGAATCTAACCTTTGGTGACGAGTTCAACCAGGGCTTACAAGATGTCACGCTGCCAGGCAAATTGCATACATTAATCTTCGGCCAGAAGTTCAACGGGGGCTTGCAAGGTGCGCTGCCAAGCAGTTTGCAAACATTGATCTTTGGTCAAGAGTTTGACCAGGACTTGCGAGGTGTGACTTTGCCAAGCAGCCTGCAGACTTTAATCTTAGGCTACAAATTTAACCGAAGCTTGGAATGTGTCACACTACCAGAAGGCCTGCAGACTTTGACCCTTGGCTCCTTGTTTGACAAGGGCTTGGAAGGTGTCATGCTGCCAAGGAGCCTTCAAAACTTGACGATCATGGATGGTGTCAACTTGACGGTCAGCAGCTTGCAAACTTTGACACTCGGCAGGTTGGATACAAACTCGGAATGCGCTACACTGCCACAAAGCCTACAGACTTTGAATTTTGGCTTCAATTTCAAGCAGAGTGTAGAAAGCATGAGTTTGCCAAGTAACCTAGAGATTTTGACCTTTGGCGATGAGTTTAATCAGAGCTTGGAAGCTCTTACGCTGCCAAATTGCTTAAAGACTTTGATCTTCGGCTGTGCCTTCAACCAGGGCTTGGAGCGGGTGGAGCTGCCGAACAGCCTTCAGACTCTAACCTTCGGCAAGTTCTTTGATCAGAGCTTAGCAGGTGTCACATTGCCAGGCAGCCTTCAAACTTTGACCTTCGGCCACAAGTTTAACCAGAGCTTGGATGGTATTACGCTCCCAAGCGCCCTTCAGACCTTAACCTTCGGCCATTGTTTCGACAACAGCTTGCTCGGTGTGGTTCTGCCGCCAAGCAGCCTGCAGACTTTGAACTTTGGCTACTTGTTTAATCAGAGCTTGGATGGCGTTAACCTACCAAACAGCCTGCAGACACTTGTTTTTTGGCAATCAGTTCAACCGGAGCTTAGAAGGTGTCACGCTGCCATGCAGCCTGCAGACTTTGACTTTCGGATATATGTTTAACCAACGCCTGGAGCAAGTCACGTTGCCAAGCAGCCTACAGACATTGAACTTCGGCTACTTGTTTGACCAGAGCTTAGAGAATGTTGCACTTCCAAGCAGCTTGCAGACTTTGAACTTTGGCTACATGTTCAACCAGAGCTTGGAATGTGTGGAGTTGCCACCCAGTTTGCTGACTTTGAATTTTGGCTATTTGTTTGACAAGAGCTTAGACAGCGCCAGGCTGCCAAGCAGCCTTCAGACACTGAACTTTGGGTACATGTTCAACCAGAGCTTGGAAACAGTCACGTTGCCAAGCAGCCTGCAGACTTTGAACTTCGGCTATCAGTTTAACCAGAGCCTAGAGAGTGTCAAGCTGCCAAGCAGCCTGCAGTCTGTGACCTTGAGTTTCAAATTCAACCAGAAGCTGGCACTGCCAAGCAGTTTGCAGCACCTTTGCTCGAAGCATTTTGAGCTGCGTGTCCACGGGTCCTGATGGCCACGAAAAGAACTGCAGCCTTGAGGACCTGATAAGACCTTGCCATGGTCATTGTTTTCTTGAAACCTTCCGATTTCCGCCGATGCCGTACAAACATGACAAGCAAATGTCGAAGGGCGGAGATTGTACCATTTTGTTCGGACCAAAGCAATAAAAGATCCTGAAGCACTCGGTCCTCTCGTCCCCTTAGTCGTTCACTTCGATGCCTGGATTCCGGAATCGGTGCGGACGGTGCAGCATCTGTGCGGAGCAGTCGCTTCGCCGCTTCGGAAAGTGGGAGCTACGCTTCCAGGACAGCGAACATGGAAGTGGATGATGGCAGGGCACGATTTCATGGTCATCCTTTTTGGGGGCCATGCCATCCACTTCCATGATTGCTTCAGGGAGTGTAGGACATTGTAGGACTGTTTCTTTTGGCATTGTTGCTGGGATTTTCCATGGGAGCGATGGTTTTGAAGAGGGGTCTCAAATTTGGCCGTGATAACTTTTCGGGTTGGGATGATGACTCCAGTCAATACTGCCGAGAAAAACGAGGAGTGGACAACTCAAAAGAGTCTATATCTATGCATGCACTCCACTTAAGATGTCTAAGTGCTCCATGTTGTTGATTTCTCGCTGCAGGTGCTGCTAGTGAATGGCCCTGGCACTTGCTTCCCCGTGTGGGTCTCAGACGCATTTCAGTTTGCGAGTACTGCCGATGCGATGTGATTAGAGGTGGTTAAATAGTGAAGCTAGTAGGTTGGAGGCCATCGCAAGTAGGGAGGCCATCATGCGTCACGTGACCAAAGAGTTTTGGGGATATCCTCGAGCTCAGAGCCTTCCTATAGTCACTCACCAATATCCATTATTCGCACTCGGAACATGCAGGACTGGCATATCTGGCGATTGTAGTTGTATGGTGTTTTGCAAGTTTCACCCATCCTGAAGCTCAAAACCATCAAGGACGGCTCATGGCACTGTCCGGTCGCGTCACATCCGGAGGTGGTGGCCGCCGTGCTTCTCTTCGAGCTCATCGCCTTCCGGCGGGTGTCGCTGATCTTTGTCGGGACCCGCAGGTGTCGCAGGTGTCGCCGTGCAGGTTGTGATCGCAGGTGTCGCTGGAGCCATGGTGCTTGGAGTGGAAGATCTTCCGGTGGATTTCTCAGGTGTTTGAAGATGTTTGAAGTGTTGGGATGCTCTCGTTTCAGACGATGGCAAAGCTCCAAACAATATAAAGTGCATAACAGGCTCTATATGTTTACCCCGACAGGATGATGCAGCATGGATATTGCCTTTTTTCCGTTGCACCATTCACCCAAAGTACTGTCCAAATACGACCCAAATGATCCCCAACCTCCAGGAATATTGCAAACCTCCAGGAATTCGACCAAAATCTCATCCTCCCCCACAAACCTTTCGCTTGATCGGACCAGGTCGAAAGTGTTTGCCGGGTTAAGAGCTTGTGGCTTGGCACCGTGCTGTTTCACCGTGCGCTGATGGGCAGGGCGCATGGATCCTTTTCACGAAACATGTGGTGTTTTTGTTGCAAGGATGATGATCGGCGCCTCTTCCACTGTTCTAAAATGTTCTAAAGATAAGACTGGACAGCTCATTTGTGTGAAACCTCAGCCGAGGCAGAAAAGTGCAGCTAGGACATTTTACCACTTGGGAGGAGGCTCCTACAGCTCCTCACCCAAAGCCAGAGAACATTCTCGGTCGTTTTTTCACAATGAATGCATTTATCAAGGGCAAGTTGAAAGGAACCAGAGGCCTTTGCACCAGGCATGGACTTTGAATTGTGAGAGGCACATCACTTGCATGTGGAATAACCTTGTCAGGTGAGCATCCAGTGAATTTGTGGGCACATGACGCCTTTACCAATGTTGCGTTTTGCTGGCTATTGTAACAAGATATGAATTTCGTGAATTTGTAGCCTAGGCAGCCTATTGTACAAGTAATATGGGCCCCGGTCTATTTTCCTTCTGAAAGCGCAATACCTTTGCCTTTCAACTTTTCTTCAACGAGATCCATCCCCAACCGCCCCAGCGATGCTAGCGCCGCTTTTCTCCACCATCCCCTACAGGTCATGTGAAGCATGGGGTTATCAGGATCCAGCTCCCATCATTAAGCCTCTAGAACATGAAACTGAGCTGACCGGAGAAAAGGTGTGTTTTGTTACATTGTACTTGTATTAATTTTATCTGACTCATTGCCTGCACATATGAATAGTACAGGACTGCCTTCTTCATGGTCCCTTTCAATCAGGGACCGACGCACAGGTCCATGAGTGGCAAGCTGATCTATCCCTTTGCGGATGCCTTCCTGGTGCATTGGCCTGAGCTCGTTGAAAGGTGCCCGAACTGTCGGTGGTTGTGTTTGCTCAATCCTTCTTCAAAGGGCCCTTCAGGCAACACTCAGCCAAGACTTAAGATCTTGTTCTGAACCCTCATATTAGAGAATAACTAAAGAATTACGCTGCTAACCTGGCTTGGTATGTTCAAGCTCTCATCTCCTTGAGCGGGACAAACGATCAATGACGATTTATTTATTCTTTTTTGTGAAGGTATGCGAAAGCGCAATATCTGGGCATATTATTTTGAAGGAAAACAATAATACATAGAAAATCAATATTATTTATTAAATAAAACATAGATGTATAATATTAAATATTGAATATTAATAATATATTAAATAGTTAATTTCTTAATATAGGTAATAGAAATTCGACGAAAAGGTTAATTCAGGATATTATAAAATTGATTGGGGAAAATAATATATGTAGCCGAGAAAATATTACGAAGGAATTATAAAATATATTTTAAAAAATAATTGGATATATGAATATTTTTATTTTAGAATGGGAGTGTTTGAATTCTTATATAAATTAATTCTTTATATAAAAATTGTGTTTTATGATGAATTTGTATATTTGGATGTTGTAGTGATTTAAATATTTCGCTTTGAAATATTGAATAAATATTATTAATTATTATTATTTGATGGGGATGATTTTTGATAATGGAATTTTGTTTGGATTTGAATTATATTGAATTTATTTTAATATGAAATTTATTTAAATTATATTATGAAAAAAATAAAATTATTTATTATTATATTATAAAGATTTTTTTTAAATAATAATTAATTTGAAATGAAACATATTTTTTGGGAATAATAATTATATTCGGCAAAGATTATTTTGGATTAAATTATTAATATGAATAAAAAAATATATTGATATATATGGAGAAATTTAAGAACAAATATAAATATACAAAAAACTATATATAAAATGTTTGATGATTAAAGATATAAAGTTAGGGATCGAATTGAATATTTTTTAGCACGATTTTAATTTGATTTGGAATGAATATTTAATGATTGTTATTATTAATGAGAAAACAGCGGTGGTTGCCGAAGAACACCGTGTTAAAGCGTGGATTAATACGAATACGAACCAATGCGAGCGAATTGGATAGATGCCGAAGCGTCCGCGTCCGTTTGCGTTTTCCTGCTGCATGAGCCCACCTTGCGGATGGGTAACCTTAGTCGTGTGAATCTGACATGGTTGCACAGCGTGCAAATTGACACCGGTGGTGGTGTCTCTAGTACACCAATGCTTATATAGCATGGTGCTACGCGATCATGTCTGGCCGCAAATTTGAAAAATCTAAAGGGGACCGCGAGTCGCCACAGAATGAACAGCGACGCAGGGTCAGGAGATTTCTGCCGGGAATCTGGCGTACCGACTGGCATCCATCATCATTCCAGCGAGTTCTTTTAACCTTCGAAGCCATTAATGGCTTGTTCTGCGGGCAGGAGTCCATGTGGTCGTTGACCTCTCGCTCCAAGCGCTTCAGGATGTCCTCAGCGGACCTGAGGAGGGAGAACAAGTGTTGGCGTTCTCCATACAGGGAATCTCGTTCCTGTACATTCAGATCGATGGCCTGTCTGGCCTCTCTGGCGGCGGCAGCAGCAAATTCGGCAGAGCGTTGTCGCTCCTTAGCCAGCTGAGCACGAAGGCGCTGGGGAACAATCGCCTCATCCTTTTGGGAAGCAGCTTCGGATGTTGCCGGTGGCGGTGTTGGCAACTTCGAACCATTCCAGCTGCGGCCACTAAAATAGCCGCACGTGAAGATGAGCACAAAAAGAAGCAATTGTGTGAAAACCAGTGCATGGAAAAACCAATTGCCATCTTCACTTGCGGTCACTGAGGGTGGTGTCTGAACTTTCTCGCAGCTGTCTTCGGCTGCGCAAACCTTCATCATTCAGAGCCATAGTGCCCACATCAGGACATTCTTTGAGCGACTCGGGATGTCATACTTCCGGCGGACCCGACATGGCTTGAGACGAACACATACAAAAGGGCGTGCTCGGTGAGTGCCATGTTGACATGCTCAAGGGGTCACCTACCTTATTCTCAAGAACCTCTTCGGAACCAGGGAGGTAGTCGTCTGGTAGGTCTTGGTGCCAGACTTTCGTAGGGCCGGAGGAGGTGGTCTCCTGTAGCGCAGTGATCTTCTCCGATTGTGTCTTCTTCTTCATGGCTTTATACTCCGGGTCCCAGGTGAGCTTCAACTTGTGATGCTTGAGGCGTAGTGCCATCAGGCCTCGAGCAGCCTCTTTGGTGAGGCCATCAGCAATCTGGCGATCCGAGCTCACCCATTTCAAAACTCCTCCGAGATCTTGAAGTCGCTCCTTCATCACTCGAATCTCGAGTGAGACTCTCTTGTCGACCACCGAAGATGAAGTCCCTTCTCGATGGTACGAGTCGTAGAGCGCCTTGGCGTCGGTGATCATCACCGGCTTGAGCGTGGACGTCACCTTGAGCAAGTCTTTCAAGGGGAGGTCTGGTTGCAGCATGTGACGCCAGTACCTGCAAACAAAATCCACAGCATCGCTGGCCTGACCACCAGCTTGAGCCTCGGCTCCCAGTGAGGACCGTAAGACCCTCGGGGTCTTGAAGGATCGCCAGTCGATGACATGGTAGTCGCCCTCTTCCGGCGAAGTCATCAGCTGCTCGTTGATGAGCATGAGGATGTAGCCACCCTGAGAGGAACCATCAGCGCGAGCTGAGAAACCAGCATCGAAGAAACAGATCATCCTCAGCTAATCGCTTGTGCCAATGTGATTGTAACACAGGCCAACATCTTTATGTTCCTTGGCGAACTTGAGCAGCTTGTTGCAGTCCATGATGGTCTGAAGCGTGCCGTGGTTCACATGGGCAGCCAGTTGAGAGGTGCTGCACTGTAAATGCGGTGAAGTCTAAACCGCTGGCCACTGAAGGCTGCCAAGTAGGCCACGAAGTTGGGTGACTTCCTTTTCCTTGAGGCTCTCATGAGGGCCACGCTTCTTGTCGTAGGTGATGGGGCAGACTTTCTCAAAGTACTTCGTTTGATGAAGTTTGCGGCCTCCAGACTCAGTCTTCTCGATCTCGCAGCCACAGTACTCAAGAACTGGCTCCTCCTCCTTCCATTCTCGAAATGAGAAATGCTCTTTGAGCTGGGCCGTCACAGCCTGGTACCTGGGACTCAGTGGACATCCAGCTCCAAGGAGGTCGTCAACGTGCATGATGATGATGCCCACTAGACAATGCGTGCCAAGAGAGCTTGTCTGCTCATGAACAGGATCTGAAGCCTGGTAGTTCTCATCGTCGGTCTCGTAGACCAAGAAGGCACAGGGGTCCAAGGCATGTTGCCTGAGTCCAAGGCGACGGAGTCGTTCAATCGCCTCAAGGTACCAGCCACGTGGAGCATCAATCTGACCATAGCAGGGCTTGAGCAAAAGCATCCTCGTGTTCTCGTCTCCTCCAAGGAGTTCGAGTGCTTCAGAGGGAAGCTTGACCCAGAGCTTTCTGTCTTGGCTGCGGCCTTGAAGGAAGGCCGTGCTCACGTCGGCGGTCCACATTCGCCAACTCATAGTGGCAGCCAGGGAAAGCACCATGGAGCGTGACAGCCGGGTGGTTGTAGGGCTCGATGTCTCGACTTGGCCTGCAAGGGCGTCAGGATCAGCAAAGCCCCTGACGATCAAGCGGGCCTTCGCCCGTGGTGTTCCGTCAGGATTCTTGGACCACTTCAGGAGGATCGGGCTTGTCAGAGTCCGGGCAGGATCTGCTTCCTTCGTCGTCTCAAAGACCCAGACGTGGTGGTCAAAGAAATTCTTGAGCTCCTTCACTTTGGCCTCCTTGAACATGGCCCTTTCATGTGGTCCCAGATGGCGCTCATTGATGCCATCCTTGTCTTTCTTGAACTTCTTCTGCCGAGTGAGTTTCTGCTCCTTGCCCTGTTGCTTGGCATTGGTGTTGTGCTGTCGGCCCGGACCACTATACATCGCCATCTCCTTTCTGGTAATGCCATTGATCTGAAAGATCGTAGCCCCAGTCCATGAGGAAGTGGTATCCGGAGGGGCAGAACTGTCAAGACCTGAGTCAGTGTAGAGTCGACCCTTACCGCCAGCTTGGTGCACCAAAGTCACTCGCACACAATCCAGCTGCTCTCGATCGATTGGGCAGTCTTTGGGAAGTTGATGAAGATGCAGGCGGCCTCGACGAGGTACGACGTGATGTCGGATCAAGCAACCGGCCTTGACTTCCCAATAGTCAGTGGTGCGATCGGTGAGCTGCAGATAGCCATGTTCATCCATGACCCAGCCACTGGGAAGCATCTTTGTGTCAATGTCTTCCAGGAAGTAGGCCTGACCAGCCTTGTCCTCAGTGGACGGTGGAGTTGGTGCAGGTGCCAGAGGATATGGTGCAACATCAGTTCGTGCATGATGGCGCACAAGTGCAAAGCTCATGGTCTCCTGCCTGTTGAGGCGCAGGCGACGCTGT